GTTTGGATTTGTGGACTTCAGCTCTGCAGAAGATGCCAAAGCAGCTAAAGAAGCCATGGAAGATGGAGAGATAGATGGAAACAAAGTCATCCTCGATTTTGCCAAGCCAAAGGGTGACTTCCAGCGTGGCGGCGGATTTGGTGGCCGTGGTGGCAGAGGAGGCGGCCGAGGAGGAAGAGGTGGATTTGGTGGCAGAGGTGGTGGCAGAGGTGGATTTGGAGGTAAGAGGAGGCAAATGCTGCTTGTTCTGAGGGGGTATGCTCAGAAAATAACCCAAAGCCATTCTTAGGGTTATGATGTGGGTCTACCACAGAGCAATGGATTTGAATTTATTTTCCGTCCTGTGCCAGGATGGCTTTGGAAGGGCCAGATACATATATATATCTGTATCTGCACACACATATCTTTATCTGTGCATATACATTTATATATATGTATACACACACCATATATATTATACATCTAACTCTGTTTTTTGCAATAATTTTCCTTTTAGGTAGAGGTGGCTTCCGAGGAGGCAGAGGAGGAGGTGGAGATCACAAGCCACAAGGAAAAAAGATAAAGTTTGAATAAACTTCCCCTTTCCTTCCCCTTCTTCTGCTCTCCGAGACTATCTGAAAGGACTCCGGGGGTTTTTATTCTCCTTTGATCTTGGCGGAGCCTTCGGGGGACATTCCAAGAAGCGAAGCAGTACTGTGAGCCACTTGGAAGATACTAATTTTCATTTCAAGGAAGCAAGAGCAAGCCATTTTAACTGCTTGCCTGTTCAAATGAACTTTTTAAAAAAAACAACGAGTGATAGATGTGGGAATTTACCCCTTGTCTGTGAGTTGTCTTGAATTTATAATGTTTTACCATGTACAAATTTTTTTTTCCTATAAACTTCGGTAGCATTTTTGCTGTAAAAATGCAGAATGTTTTATCATTTGTGCTTCAGCACCCTGTCTTGGACAGATTAAAGGACCTAAACTGGTTCGTGTTACTTCTGTGCCACTAAATGAAGCCAGGCTGTGCAAAACAGGCTGGCTGTAGCCTTCCCTCTCTCGTGTTAAGGTCATTAGTTGTCACAGCAGCAGCTTCTATCCTGCTTTGCTTGAGCCTGTCTCATCTAGCTGTTGTGTATGTGCTGTGTTAGAGTGCTTGCAGGAAGGAGGGTAGAAGAATATGATTGCCAAGGTAAGTTGTGTGACCACAACCACATTTTATTATCTTTTTTTTTAACTAAAGCTGCTGTGATGGTGCTTGGTAGCCAATTGCTCTTTTACATTCTTTCTTAACAAATGAGTAAATCAGATCTTGTACTAAGGCCCTGCAGCTCAGTTGCTCCATCCTGCAGGCATTTCCTCTTGTGCCTCATTCCAAATTGCCTCCGCTTGAGTTGTCCCTAAGTATGAAGCAAATACATTGAAACAGGAGGTCGGGGTAAGTGGCTACTTGGTTGAACTCATGCCCAGACCTTCTGCCGTTCTTCAGACTGGGTCAGGGTGACTGCCTAGGGATAATGGAGCTCAGTGGCAGTGGTCACTAACCAGTTTTTCTAGCCAGGCACATGGCTGCTGTCCTGCAGTGGTAGGTGTAGGCGTACAGAGTTACCCGTGGGTGAAGATAATGGGTACAGAAAGCAGGGCTGTGCCTTCCTGGGTGCAGGGACCTGCAGGCTCGAATGTCAGTGGCATTGTGCCATTCTGAAAGGTCCTGCCCTGGGCTTTGGCACGTTCCAATGACCTTCCTTCTCAGCTCTGGCTGCAGTTATTACAGACTGTTCCACCCTCCAGGCACCTTGTACCAGCATTGGGAACATCGGTATCCTGCAGAGCCCTTCCAGCCCTTCTATGGCTTCCCAAAGTTGAGCGCTGGGGGAGCAAGGATTCCCTGTGCCTTGAATGTTTTATATTAACCAGTTGGGGGAGGGGGGTGGTCACCTTGGCGGGAGGGTTATGGGTTTTGTGTGTTCTGAGTGTTTGGTGTCCTCGCCCCCGTCCCTGCCCGACGCTCCCCCGGCCCTTTGGGATCGGCCATTTTGGAGCCGCGCGCGCGCCCCGCCGGCAAATGGTGGGAGTGCGGGTCCGGCCGCCAGGGGGCAGCACCCGCCCGCTGTTCCCGCCGGGAATCGTCCCTCAGGACACACCGGCCCGGACACCGGGATGTGGGCCCTGCACCCGCTCCAGCACCCTCGGATGCTGGCTGGAGCATTCCCTCGCACCCCAATACCCTGCAGTGGAGTCCCACAGGGGGGTCACACTGGAGCAGGAAAAGGGCAGGACCACCCGCAAGTGCACCTGCCTTTTGTCCCCACACGTAGATCTTTGATGCAGCTCCAGTGGCAGATGGCCCAGCCTGCCAAGGCCACCATGTCCTGGTCTGCTTTGCTGACCTCTGCTCCCCATCACCATGTGGAGCAGCTGAACTGGGAGCTGGCTCTGGAAACAGCCTCCAGTGCCCTACAGGCTCACCTGTGGCCTTCCTCTTCTTCACCCCAGCTAGGTTCAAACCTGATGTGGGTTTGTCCCTGCAGACATGGCTCACTCTGCTCTGGGGTCACTGCTGACCCTTGCTGTGTGTGCCCCACTGCTCTGTGGCCAGGGCTTGTGTCACCCTCTGGAGCTTTGGCTGGGGCAGCGAGCAAGGTCCTGCCATGGGGAGGGTGGTGGGGACAGGAAGTGTCAATCTCCTTCAGCACCAGGAGAGGGTGTTCAACAAAACAGGTGAGTTTCCAACCCTGCTGAAGTGACCCTTGTCACGGAGGTCAAGATGAGAAACTCCTCACTGCAAGGTACCAAGAGGCTCAGAAGTTTAGCTGAGTTTGAAATGGAGGTGGAGGAGTGCATGAAAGAGAGCAAATACCTGCTGGCCTTGTAAAGTCCATGCCAGACTCCACAAGGAAGCTGTGCCAAACTGGAACAGGGCAGCTACAGTCCCCAGATGTCCAGGCCAAGCAGTAGTTTTGCCACTGTAGCCCATTGCCAGGTTTTGTTCCCAGCAGAAACCCACTACTAAAAACAGGAGCTGAGGGCTTGTAGGATTTTTTCTTCTTCTTTTAACCTTTATTTAGAAACTAGAATATTCACCAAAATCTACAAGGTTTCTCTGTACAGGTCCCACCAGGTGAAGAACAACACTGAGAGATGTCTGCACGCAGCTCTGGCTCCCTGTACACATCGCTACAGAGCGCAAGAGCCAACCCTGAATACAGGACACTGCCAAAAGTACTGTACCTGACATAAATTATGGAGGTGTCAATTTGGAAAGTATTTCTGAACTCACTCCCAGTGGAAGGAGGGAGGAGAGGGGAAGGGAAAAGAGTGTTGTGTGTTACCTAACCTATACAGGCACCGAAAATGCCCTCGGGGCTCTGCCCTGCACTGCTGGCACTTGCCCCAGCGATGGGGTGAGTGCACCGTACATCAAATTTCACAGTATCACTGCCAGCCAAGCCCTGGGCAGCACTGGCTCTTGCTCTTCCTCCTCTTCAAATCTGCAGCCAGGGACGTTTGCCAAGAGTGGTGTGGCTTGGTGTGAGGGGTGCCTTTTTTGACTGGTTTATGCCCTTTTTTAATTCGTTTTCTAACCTGGGGAACATACAGACTTGGAGTAAATGAAACAGGCCTGTTTCCAAAATACATTAAGAAAAAGAAAGAAAAAAAAGAAAGGCACTGCATAGGGGGACCTTTGAGGTAGTCAAAAGTTTTTCCTTTCAATGTCTGGCACCAGAGAGGGAGAGAGTGAGCGCACCTGTGCCTGCATTTTGCTGTGCATGGGGCTGTGGCTTTGCCTGTCCACCCCATGCAGTGATGTCTGGGTGTGCAGACCCTGTGCCTGGGAGCTGGCACAGCAGTGCCCATGCACACGTGTGGCTTTGCACACGCCTGTGGCTTTGCTTTGCTCATACCTGCAGTCGGTGGCTGGAGAACGTCTGTGGCCCTTTCATGGCCATATGTCTCTCTGTGTTGTGGGGTTTCCATCACAGCAGATGACCCAGGGCTCCCCTCAAGAGCTCGTGGCCCTTCCAGCCATGAAAAAGGGCCATGTCTCACGACACAACTCCCTGTTGTGCTCCTGTGCCTCATCCTGTAGAATAAACACTGCAACAACCCTGAGAAGAGCAGACATGGTGTGAAACACCAGCCCTCCTTTACCTTGTCCCCTTGGAGCCTGCTCCATGTGCTGGGGCAGGATCAGCGCTCTCCGATCCACCCTGGAGCATCACATTTGCTGCCAAACCAGGGCTAAGCCCGAGGCAGCCATGCATGGGTCCTTTGGGGGCTGTTGTCCCCCTCCAACCAGACCCACCAGGGCAGCCCTGCTGCAGAGAGAGGGTCTCCCCAGAGGAAACTGCACCCAAGCTGAGGTCCCAGGTGTAACAAACCCCTGGGCCACTCCAGCTGGGGGCCACCAAGTTTCTCTGCCACTTCCTTGGCCACAGGCAAGGACAGTCTGCCTGGTCTCTTCTCTTTCCAGCCAGGAGGATCAAATCCCTCAGGAATTTCAGGTGGATGCATTCCTCTGAGGGCATGCAAAGCAAGGCCACAAGGGGGCTGGGAGCCACCATCGCCTGGGATCCTCTTTTAGGGACAAAGATGCCGGTGCCCTGCTGAAAGTGCCATGCTGAAATCCTAAGGGGGCTCAGGGCTGATGAGGCCTGGCCTTTGAGGAGAGCCCCTTGTGGGGACATGGAGAGGACTTTGGTGGGGGTGAACCCAATGCGCACAGGATCAAGGTCACCAAAACCTTGCATGGAGGAGAAATTTGAGATAACAAATAAAATCCCATGATTTTTGTATTGTGGGGGGCTGATGCACTTGCGCTCAGCTGAACTCCCTTGGAGCAGCTTCCCTGGATAGCCAGACCTGAACACCTCCAAAAATGTGCCACATCCCTCCCTCCCTTTCCGACTCCTTCACTTATTACTCTGCTGTGAAGGAGGTACGTAAAGCAGAGCACAAACCTCTGTGCCCTCTCTCTCTCTCTTTTTCCATTTTGTGCTTGATTTGTCAAGTTGGTTTGTTTTTTTTTTTTTTCAACAACCCCCAACCCAGCTGGAGATAAGTGAACCACAATACAGTACAGGAACAAACACTATCACAAACCCTGCCCGCAAGTGCAATGTCTCTACCCTCCTTGCCCTGGAGAGAGATGCCCCTGAAGGACTCATGTGCCGCCAGCAGAGGCTCACCCCCTCCTGGAGGGGGGATCAGCTGTCCCAGCCCCTCCAGTCCCAGCTCTCCAGAGAGACTGAGCTAAAGGACATTGAGTTTTCTTGAGCATGTCAAGTTACTGTGGACCAAGTCCCACATTTGGAGCAACTCTGGAGGCAGCAGTTTATGAACCACCAACATACTCCGGAAAAAACATGGCTCCTTGTTCATCTTGCTGTTCTTGTTCTTCACGATGCCAAAAGTTTTGAAGCCCTCGTGTCCAACAGGTGATACTTTAAGGACCTCCAAGCACATCCCTAGAAAGACGTCGTCGATGGGGTACAGCTCCAGCATCTCTGAGGTCTTGTGCAGCTTCTTGGCCAGGGGTCCATCCATGATGAAGCCCCCACCTCCTGCATAGGGTGGGTAGATGTTTTTGTTGTAGAGGGCACTGGGGATGTAGTACTTGTTCTCCTTCTTACGGATCGGCCTGGCCTTGTGGAGGACATCCCCCACAAAGAGGTCCTCTCCCTCCTTCTTGTCCTCCAGGAACTCCAGGATGTTGCTGGGACTCACAAACACATCATCATCACCTTTGAAGATGAAGCGGACGTTGTCACAGTAGATGTTGAACCACTTCAGGAAATGGACCTCTTTGAGGGTGAGGTTGAAGAAGCTGTCCAGGAAATCCCACTGCAAGATGTCCCCATAGATGTGGTTCTCGTAATCCAGCAGTTTCTGGTAGTTGGCTCTCTCCTCCTCCTTGGAGGCCGTGCCCAGCAAGAACAGCGTCCTGATCTTCTTGCCCTCCACCTCCTTCTCCTGGCCCCAGGTCTTCCGGATGGCCTCGCGGCGGTCGTGCTGTGTGATGATGGACTTGACCACAATGAGCAGGTAAACGTCCTCACTGCACTTCTCAGGGTGGTTGATCAGCATGGGGAAGTAGCGGCAGTGCCGATAGAGCAGGAACTGCTGGAAGTTGGGCTCCAGCCCCTTGAACCAGTCCACTTTGCTGAAGTTCTGGTTGGCTGAGCAGTTGGTAGTGGTGACATCCCAGGATCTTGTTTGCTTTGCCGTCACGCTCTCCTCCTTCACAGGAGCTTTCTCCTTCTTGGTTTTCCAGAAGGTGCTGGTGATGGAGAAGGCGTTGTCTCTCTTCTGTGTTTTCAGAGGTTCTGGAGGGGGCAGGTCTTTCTGCTGCTGGCCCTGCATGAACTGGTTGGGGGCCATTCCCCGCTGCAGCACCGTCACCGTGATGATCAGCAAGAAGGAGAGACAAACTGTTTTGTAGATGGTCTTCTTCCTAAAGGGACAAGATAGGGGGTTAAGGGGAGGAAACTGCAGCGTGCGAGAGACTTGTCTGCAAAAGCACCTCGTGGAGAGGTCATGGGATCCTCATAATCTGGGTCCCATCACCTTTTGATGAGCAGAAGCCTCATGGAAAGAGCTGTGGGACACCTTCATGCATGCTCTTCCCACCTGCATCCCACCTGTGGGGTAGCTCTGGGGCCACGCATAACTGCAGGGACAGGCACAAGGTGTGTAGCAGGTGTCATCTGGTAACCCCAGTGCAAAGAGCTGGGAAGGGTTCACAGGAAAGAAAAAAATGGGCTGAGAAAGTTGAAGTCAGGGTGAGAGTTTCAGCAAGGCAGTTGTTTTGGAGGAAAGTCTCAAGGGAAACCTGTTTCAACCATCTGAAAATTGCAGTTCAGGACAAGAACAGAAGAGAATTATCTTTTCCTCAGAAGCATTAATTCCAACACACAAACATACTACCCATGGCCTTAAGACTGGCAACAACGCTGAGAAACCAGAGCCGGAAAGACCATGAGAGTCAACATGAAACTGGCATTATTATTTCTTTTCAAAATGGCACATCAGGACTTAGAAGAAGCAATTTGAGTCAAACTTCAAGATTCATTGGGAAAAATACACCCCTAACCCTGTAATCACCTCGTGAACCAGCATTTCTGGGGGCACTGCTGGGTGTTTTGGCCAGCTCTTGGGTCCCACTGCTTCCTTTGTGGTGATAAGGAGCAGTGGACGCAGGGCAGATAGGGGCACAGATTTTCCCAGCCTGCAGCAAACCAGGTGTCTGCATGTCCAGGGCGTGTAGAGGACCGGATAGATCAAACCTGGCCTGTGGACAGAGCTCATGGGGGGGTTGAGCAGGATCCTCCTGAGGTCCTTGGGACAGTGGGAAGGCTGCACTCAGAGATTACTGATGCACAAATTCCCACAACCTGCTTTTCCACACAGCTAAAGGTGGGTTTCTCTTCCTACTGCTGCAGAGGAGAGGAACTGCCCTCTCTGCCCATCTGCACTGTGTGCTGCTCCCAAATGCTCAGCTCCCCTCCACAGCTGGCACACCTGCACCAATTCCCTCCCACCGAAGTCCTGTGCAAATGAGCCATCTCCTTGTTCAAATGAGCACTGGGCATGAGGGAATGTCTGACCTCCTTGTACCCACTCCTGACAGCCTCCTAAGGGCAGTCCCATCTCTCTCTGCTCCAAGTCGAGGTGCTTGGCAGCCCCTACACCTGCTTTCCCTGCCAGTGGGTGAAAGGGACCTTGGCTGGGGAGCCAAAGGAGACAGACATGGCACTGGTCTTGTGACTCTCATGAGTCTGTCCTCTTGGTGACAGAAGCATGTCCCAGCCTGGTGACACCAGCTGGTGACAGCCCTCAGTCTCCCACTCCAGAAAGATCCAAAATTATCTCTCACAGGCAGATGGCATCTTCACTTTGGGACAGTCCAGAGAAGGAGCTTGGGGCTGAAATTGGAAACATTTAACCCAAGTATCTTATCCAGATAGTCAAAAAACCAAAAAAGCCATGAAATCTCCTGGACCTGGGGGTCAGATTGGAATCAGCACCACCAGGAAGGTGCTGGGGCTTTGGGCCACAGGCACCTGCTTGGTGAAACATCCTGTAGCCCCTCAAGCTCCCCAGGGCAGGGGTCAGCATTGTCCTTGGGGACTGCAGTCACCCTTAAATGTAGGAACCCAAAATGGGAAACACGGAAACCGGGAGCTTTCAGGAGCTCCTGTCTCCGGCTTTGCCCTGAAGTACAAAGAACTTTTGAGCCCCACGTTGTCGTGGGAAAACTGTGATCACTAGTGTGAGAGCGAGCATGGAAATAAGTAATTACGGGTAAACGGATAGATATTCCCCATCCGGTTTTATATGTGGCCACTCATCTGAGACTGATGAGGGAGCAGTTCTGATTAGACCTCACCATTCCCTTAACCCTCTCCAGCCCTGCCCTCACAGCTTCGGGCTTATTCTTAGAAATCCTTCAGTTCCAATACAACTTTACTCCAAGCACAGCCAAGCAACGTTTAAACCCTCTTATCAGTACCCAGCACTGCCACAAAAATAACGCTGGTCACCCCTGTATAGTAACTCTATTTGTATCAATCCCACCCTGACAACCCATCCTTACTCCCATCCCATCTCATCCCATCCTACCCTATCCCATCCTGTCCCATCCCCTCTTTGCACTCACTCCCCACCACCCCAAGGACAAGTGATAAAATACCCAGTCAGAAATACAGCCAGAGGTTGCCCAGAAGCCAAAGGCAGGCAATTACTGATACAATTTTTAAAGATTTGCATAGGAAGGGCTGTCACTAACTGGCACGGGTGGGTCCCAGCCTTGGCAGACTCTGCCTAACAGAGAGAAGCCACATGGATCCACTCATCCCCATCCACCCTCCTCGGGTCCAGGCAGAAGATCAGACCTGGGGCTGAGGGGAGATCTCCGGTGTTTAGTAAGAGGTGGAGAGTCAGGTGGCTTGGGTACATCCAAGTGACTCGGTGAGGTGTTGCACAGCAACACAGAAACTTATTCCTCCTTCCTTCAGGGGACACCGTTTCCCAGCTCTCACCAGTGCAATTATTGCTTTATTACAAGAACCTATTTGGGATTTTTCCTACAGGTCTGACTGCAAACCATGGGGTACCACCAGGTCCAGCAGGAACAGGGGGCTCCACGGCCACTTCTCCCCTGCAGAAATTCCGTCCCTGCACTGTCAGAAAAGCAACAGGGATTAGGGGGACCCTGAGCAACAACTGCAGGAGATTCCCACACCAAACTGAGGAGTTGGGGGGCAAAAGAGTAAGAATTGCATGCACATCTTTTCTGATCTCGAGTCTTTCTCTGTGGTGTCCTCAGCTGGGAAGTACTTCAAGAGGGGAGAAACCAGGTCCTGCTTTCTGGAGACACCAAGAAGCACCACACTGGCAAAAGAGGTGCTTTGGGTTTGCTGCCGTTACAGAGAAGCCACCCTGTTGAGCCCCAGGACCCTGCTTGCCCCATCCAGTCCCCAGCAGCATCCCCAGGAGTGGGGGACACCCAGCGCTGCAGGGCCCGAGGGCAGCAGCCACCCAGATTGCTCCCATCAGTGCCAACCAGGACCGACTGCCCCAACTGCTGGTGTTGGTGCCACTGAGAGAGCTTTGAAAGGGTACCAGCCCCATCCTTCTCTTTTATCCATCAGAAAAACTAAAAGCCTCCCTGTGAGGTGGCTGCACCACCTGGGCAGTTAAACATAAACCCCGAATTAGAGGTGGGCAGTTTCACTTTCAGGTGTTGACGATGGAGGGCAGATGATGCCCCGGAGACTGGGGCTCTCTAACCCCATCCCATCTCACTTTGGATTCACATGAAAACCTCTTTGATTCGCCAGCACTGTCTGTTTATTGGGTTCTTGGGTTTTTTTTCTGGCCCCTCAATTAGACCCAGTCACTGGAGGTACGGCCAGTATAGAGCCCTGTCTGTTGGCAGTGCCAAGGACTGGGAGAGGGGATTTTGTCTAGGGGCAGACGCTGGGCAGAAAGCATCCAAATGTCCCCAAAAGTAGCCTATGCCAGCCGGGTGGAAGCACTAAGCGGTGCCCCAGTTCCCGACGGTTTTCCCCAACGCCGGAATGCCCAGAGACACGTCCCCTCCTTAAAAAAGCCATCTGGTTTAAACAGAAAGCAATACAAATGCAGGTTTGGAGAACAGGCAAGAGACAAAATCCCGGGTTTTCCTCCCGCCGAGGGCATCTGCCCCAGGGCTAGCCCTGCGGTGGGAGAGGGACCCCACAGGGCAGGGCTGGTGGCCCCGCTCCCCCTGGCCCCACCACACAAACCAGCCCTTCGCAGGGAAAGGCTGGGAAAGGCATGGGGGACACCAACTGCCCGCCTCTGCCCGGTGCCCCTGTCCTGGCTCCCGGCGGGCCGGGATGTGTCACGGGATGGAGAGAGATTTCCGTGGGGAGCGGACAGCCCAGAGAGCCTTCCCCGGGGTACCGCGGCCAGGGAGACCCCACCCGAGAGCCCCCGCAGAGCCGCCGCTGCTGGGATGAGGACAGGCGATCGGGGGACAAAGGACAAACGCCACCCTCAGTTGCCTCCCCATGCCACCCTCCCCACCAAAGCTGCCCTTTTCCAGCCACCCACCCCTGGGGCGCCCCTCGAGAAGGAGCTGGTGGGGAGGGGACCGGGGCGACTCTCGAGAGGGAGCCGGCGGAGAGGGGACCTCCAGTCCCGCGGCTCCGGGCAGGACGCCGCGCCGGGACGGCGGTGCCGAGCGGTGGGAGCGGAGGACACTCGGCGGGACGGCGGAGCAGGGACAGCGGGGCTCGATCCGTGCTGGAGCGGGGCAGGAGCTGGGCTCGGGCTCCCCGTTACCCGGAGATCACTCACCACTGGAACATGCTGGGAGTGGGACGGGGCGGCCGCTCCGCTGCTGGCCGGGCTGCCCGCGGTCCGGGCGCTTCTCTGCCCTCTTCCTCCTCCTCCTCTTCTTTTTTTTTTTTCCCCCTACTTTTTCCCTTTTCCCTCCCCTTGCTCTCCGAGGTGGAGCCAAAAGGGATGGCAGAGCAGGTAGGTTAACTCTTGCCCTGCCCCTCAGTCCCCACCCCCCATCCCCCGCCCCGGTCTCATCAGCACGCAGAGACCTCCCCAGTGCTGCCCGGGGAAGGTGTTCAAGGGTGACACCCCACACGTTCCCCTGGGGACCCTCCCTGCTGCCGATGGGAGCTCGGGAGAATCCCAGCCAGGCCCTGCGGGCACAGTGACCTCTTCGGGGTGCGGTAGCTCTGCCCCAGAGCCTTTAGTGCAAAGGAGCTCAGTTATGGGAAGGGAATCCCAGTAGTCACCCGGAGAGGTGTTTTTGACAGCTGGGATCTCTGGAAAAGCCATATGGGTCTTTTCTAACCACCACCCAACACGGACCAGTCACTTTGGGATAAATCTCAAAAGGGAGCTGGGGCTTAACACCCTAGTTTCTCATAGCAGTACTGAGATCCCAGCTTTGCTTCTGTGCACTGTGCAGTTTGGGATCTCTGGGGCAATGGAGCCACACATATTGCCTTGGATCCCCACATCTCCTGGGACCCACCCTTCTCCCAGGACTCACATCTCACTCAGGATCCACACCTTGTCAAGGACCAACACTCTGCCCAGGACTCCCATCTCATCAACACTCTGTCCAGGACCCACATATCTCCCAGGACCCACATCACTCCTGGGGGTGTAGGGAGTCAGAGGAAGAGTTGCTGCAGCAGGAAGGTGCCTGCTTGGCATGCCAGGACCTCTCATGGGTCAAATTTCCAACACCTCCACAAACAGGTGACGTGTCCTTTCCATTCCCTCAGCCCTGGTTAGTGTGGTTTCACCAGCATCCCTGCTACAGCCATGTCAGCATGGGACACCCCGTTGCCCATTGAGAGGCAGATTTATGACCTTCCTTTCCTCTTAAATGTAGCATTTCAATTGAAGGTTTTGTTCAGCCATAAAAATTGGTCCCCATAATTTCTGATATCTGCCTTTTTTGTCACCTTCCCAATCCCACCAGCTGCTCATGTCCACCATGAAGCTGGGATGAGAAGCCTGCAGGAAATCCTTTGGAATATTTCCCTCCCTGTCCAGCAGAGATATTTCAGTGCCTTCCTCAACATTTCCTCTGCGTTTTTCATGAGTGATGAGGCTTATGGTTTCATACAGCTCTCACAACCCCCAGACACACTGAGCTTCTCATGGGAAAGGCTCTTCTGTTCCAAGGCTGGACATGCAGTGGGACCCACGCAGCCTCTGCTAGTCAAACAACACGTGGCTCTGCACCAAGAAAACCCCAAGTATTGCTCAGTTTGGGGAGGAAAATTGCATTGCTTTCTCCAGACCTTATCTCCTTATCTCAGCTTATCACTTTCCCAAATGCCCTGCAGCTGTGAAAGCTCCCCAGGAAACATTGCCCAAACAGGCTGCACCAGCTCCACAGCATCCCATGACCTTATCACTACCAAGGGTCCCTACGTGCCTTCCCTGATTCCTTCCTTGAATCCCAGTACGCTCAGGAAAATCTGTAATTTGCGGCATTCATGACTCCAAGAAAATCATGGCCATGAGATTCACTGAGCATCAGCTTGACCAGAACAGGGTGTGAGAAAGACCCATCTCATCCCTGTAGCACAGCAACGACAGGTACGTGCCAGCTGGGAATTTACCCCACTCTGCAAAGAGGGGCTCACAGTGGATGGGGATCCCACTGGAGAACCTCCCTTGCACAAAGTGCACCTCCCAGGCACAGAGGGGTGTGAAGAGCAAAACCCCAAAACTGCAGCCACCATCTCCTCCTTGACACATGCCTGGGACCATGATGGGGACAGGAACAGCAGCATCTGCTCACGGGGAGCTGCAGTAAATCCCAAAACACATCCCTGGGCTGTGCTGCTCCAGCATGGAAGTGGCAGTGCTGCGGGCCAAGGAGGGCTCTTGGCAGCCTGCAGCAGGGAGCTCTGCCAGCCATGCTCCCAGCTTTCCGCCTCTCCAGCGGCTGCTTCCGTGCAGGAAAGTGGCAGGGCTGCAAGCACAGGATGATTCTGTGCTTCTGTGCAGGGTTTCAGCTCAAATAACCCTCTCTAAACAGGGAGACCCTCTCCCACATCCTCCTGTGTGGGAAAGATGCACATCCCCACTGCATGAGAGCACTGCAGGCCCGGGGGATGATGGCTGCACAAAGCTGTACCTCTGATGTTCATTAAAGTCTCAAAACCTGCCAGGGCTGGGGATACTGATGCCAGAGACAAACACTGTCCTGGGCTCCCCTGGCACTACCAGCTCCTGTTTCAAGGACAAATCTGAAGATGAAGCAGCATTTTTTATGATTATTTTTTTCATCATTACATGGGAAAGTTTAGGACAAACTTTTCACACTCTCCAGATTCACCCTGGGAAAACAGAAAGGCAGCAGGAAGGATAAAATCTAACTGAAAGCATATTTCTTTTAAAAAGTCTTCCTCCACACATCTTCTCTTTGCTTCTTGCTGTCACCCAGCAAGAACAGGTTTTACCCAAGCAGCCACAACAACTCTGCTAAGAACAAAACATGAAAAAGAGAAGTCTGAGTTTTTTTGTTCACCCCAACAGACCCAGCCACCAGCAGATCCCTGCCGTTCCTGCCCAGCCCTGCCTTCAGCAGAGCAGCTGGATCTATAGCCCTGCCACTCTTTTGCTGCAGCACACATCACCCTTATTCCTTAGGTCTAAGCCATTAGACTGGAATTTGGAGGCACTGGGTGCCTTTTTTTGCACTGTTGGCAGTGCTGTGGTTTTCTGGATAAATAACCTTGGGTGGCAGGTGCTGCTTTGGCATAGAAAGGCTCCTTTGCCTTGCACAACATGGGTGATGTCTGAGGTGTGCTCAGCTGCTGCAGCCCTGAGAGACCTGGCAGGGGACCTGTGAGAAATAGCACCTGGACACGTTATCATTGCATTCCACAGGGATGCCACCTGTGGGATCACAAGGCTTTGGAGCTGGCATCAAACAGGGGTATGGGGCATCATCTGGGTAAAGGAAGAGGGTGAGGACTGGGGCAATGCCCAAGAGGCTCATTTAGATGTTCTCAGAGTGAACCGCAATGCTCTTTTTGTTTCAAGAATCCTCTTTTAATTTCAAAGTAGACGTGAACTAAAATATTTTTTAAAAATATAAGTACAAAGAAGTGAGCTTTTTTTATCAAGCTTATGTGATCCCAGAAGACTGGCCAGTGGCAGGTTGACCCAGCCAGTGTTTTCCCACTGATGATTTGGGGTTTGTTTCACTGGGAAAAGCTGCTCTGGTTTCTTTGATATAGGGGATTTTTTTGTATGTTGTTTTCTGATTTCATTCCAGAAAATTATACATATACAGAAAAAACTCTCATTTCATCTCCCAGCAACTCACACACCTCCTGGCCACTTGTGCCAACACTGTGGTCCCTGGGCTGGGTTTCCCACACAAACCAAGGTCCCATTGCCCTGCGACCTGCAGAGACACACAAACCAGCCCTCTCCTCCCCAAACCTCCGAGTGCTTGGAGCAGGGCCAAGGGCTCAGCCTGACCCGAGACAGGCCGCACAGGGTGGTCACATATTTAGGTTTTTCTTCGTTAAACCACTCACCTGTGGCATACCCTGGGGCCAGGAGGGAGGCCAGCACTGCTATTTGTTTAGCTGAGCCAGACTTAAACCACATCAAGACTTTACACGCTCTCACGAACAAACATCCTGGGTGTGATAGGACAGGGAATGTTCCTTTCACCTTCCACGTTTTCTAAGCACCTTTCAGGGTTGCTGTGGTAAAGAGCACAGCAGATGAGAGACTCACCCATCACTGCAGGTCTCACGTGGAATGTGAGGCTGCGACCAGGGACCGCCACTACCTCTGTCCCCGGGAAAGTCCCCCGGGCAGTTAGGATTAATTATTAACCTGATTTATTGCTGAGTTTTGGAAGCTGGAGCAGGCGTCATATGCTGGCCAGGTCTGACGTGGGACACCAGGAAAGACAGACACCCCCACAGAAACCTCCCTCCGCTTGCCCATGTTAACAGGGCCATAAACCAAACCCCAAGCCGGGTGAGTTATTTTACTCATTAACCCCCAGTGCCCCGTGGCTGTTTCCCTCGCAGCACCTCTGCCAGAGTGGGGCGGTGCTGGCTCCCAGGTGGATGCAGGAGCAGATTTTCTGCCTTCCCAAAGCCAGCTGCTCTGCCCCACTCCATCGGCCTCGGCAGCTCACACACCAAAACACTGGAGCTGCTGAAACACCTTGAGCCACAGCCAAAAGAAATGCCCACTGCCCTTCTTGGAATCAAACATTGTGGGATTTGCATGATTTCTTCCAAAAACAGAGGAGGAGCAGAAGTTGCTGTGCAGGGCGATGGCTGGGACAGCCCCCCCTGCTCAGGGGTCCCCGAGCTGCTGTTGCCCTTTGCAGACCCAACGTGTCTCTGGGCAGACAGCACAGTGCTTGTGAGAGGGACATGGGCCCCACAGCCACAGTGTTGGGCAGGATGGGGTGAGACCTGAGTGCCACAGGCTCGGGGAAGGCAGGGGTGTGACACAGTGTTGGTGGAGGCAATGCTGTGGCAGCTGGGTCCCCAGGTGGGATGCAGCCAGGGCTGGCAGGGAAGCGCTGTCCTGGTCTTTGTGCCAGGAGCCACAGGATCAGGGAAGGGGGAAGCACTCTGCGAACCGGGGTGAGCAAATCCTGGGGCTGGATCCACCCAAGGGTTTGTTTTGTCTACTTGGCTGCCCCTTCCTCAGTTTTCCCAGTGAAAAGGCCCCCCAGCCTCAGGGCTGCTGCCCAGTGGGGATTCTGCCTCCTCTCCCCTTTGGATTTGAATCCCTGGGACACCTGGGTCTCCTGGGGAGCCCAGTGTGGCTGTGCTGTTGCTTTAAAGCAGTGGCTGGATCCAGCTGTGACTGCAAGTAACCCTCACCGCAGCCTTGCCCAGGCCTTTTATGCATTTTCC